TTCTTTCTATTCTTCTTCAACTTCTAAGAGATGTAATTTACTTAACTATGTAATTGTTACCTACCTAAATACAAATGACTTTTTGGTGAATCGTCTGATATTTTTGCGACAGAAGAATTTTCGTAATCAATATTCCTAATAATCTTCTCTTCTTTATTAAGCAATGATTTCTTTAGAGATGGAAGCTGTTTATTTTCCATCACATTTTATTCTTTTTCTTTACCAGCATACTTAATAATTTGATAAATTATATAGAAAACACACTAAAGAATTTTTAAGTTGTAAAAATTTTATGTTTTGCCAGATATGTATGCCAGAATGACGTCTTTATTCTTTATTTAATTTATGAGCGTAATACAAAGAAGTATTGATTTACCAAATTCAACTGTTATCTTGTAATCAAACGAATTTTTAATTTATGTTACGATTATTTCAACTTAGTTAACTAAAAATATTACACGCTATAATTTTCATAATTTTTAAAAAATATATGATTCCTAGAATTAACTAGATACTTATTAGCAACATCTCATTTCGAAAATAGAAGAAGTTATGTTAAAACAAAAAAGTTTACTGTCAAAATTATAAAGCGTGACGTTTTAACATTTGTAATTTCGTGAGTATTGTATCTTTTTTTGACACTAAACGTGTGAAGAAAAAGGTTTCCTGTAGTTCTAGATGAATTAGTTTTTGCTGGTATGTCCGAGCAAGACAAAAAGAACAACCCCCCAGCGCTAGGGGGTCCCTCTGTACTAGTGGTAGATCAGACACAAGGCAGCAGACAGAAACAGTCTTTCCGAGCCACCGAGCTACAGCAGGACGCATCAGAGTTACATCATAAACGATCGCGCGCATTCGGAGTGCCGTGTAAGGATTTTCATATATTCTAGTTAACCTGTCAACATCTTACGTTTTACTGTCAACGCTCAAACGCTCTTCTCCTTTTTTTGTTATCATTTGGAGTGTTAGAACCTATAGGCCTATTGGTTCAATCGTTGCTATCAATAGTTCAAGCTACCTACTTTTGTAGACCCGAAATTTTGGTTACATTTTTATACAAAACGGAACTTTCCCATATGGAATATGGGAATATTGTAATCTTTGAAAGAAGGAAAGTGTCATAAAACTAATAAATTAATATATCAAATAAACAATTTCTGTACTTAATATTTTGTATTTACTAGCATTTTTATCAACAATCAACCATCCACCGCTGGTAGTAAGTATACCGAACAAATCGTGCCAAACATCAAATGATATTTACCTGATGGTTCACCTATAAGGTTCTAGATTAATCTCTTATGTATATATAAACTTATATATGTATCCAACTGTATACTCCATCAACCGCCCATTCCGGGAACATTGTGTCTGGTCCATTCACAATAAAGAAATAAATATAGAAGTTATTGTTTGCCCTATAAAATATGTTTAATTTGTTTCAGCCGTAGGTGAGGAATTGAAAGATATATGTCAAGAGGCCAACGGTAGTACCGACCCGGATAACAAGGAGGAAAAGGAACAAAAAGATCAAAAGGGACAGGACGTCGGTAATAATCTCTGATTTCCTTCTATACTTTTTAGGTTAAAAAAGTTGACTGCGCGTTTCGTTTACTAGACCAAAAGTGAGATACAACACTTGTTCAAGCTATTATTTATATTAGAAGTCCAAACCATGTCATAAATGTAATAGTCGCTGCCTGCTCTGGTGTTATGATCAGTTATTTCTTGATAATTTTTCTACTTTAATGTTTACGAATAAGTTTCTATTTTCAAAACCGTGTGTGACGAACAATAGTGTGATTTAAATATATAACATTTCAAGAAGCTTTTTGTTTGTGTAGTGTCGTACGATAAACAAAAACAGATGTTGACGAAAAAGTTGTCTTCGAGCCACAACAAGCATGATCCGCCTGAGAACATACAGTTTGAGACGATAGCGTTAACGGCCGTCAATGTGGAAAATAAGGTAGAACATCCTGTATATTCAATAGTATCAAATGTAGAGTATGGCGTGAAAAGCTATCCTCAGCGTAATGCAATATGACATGATTCCTGTCGTGTGTCCTTTGGAATGTTTTAATTACCCATTTCAATGAAATCGGGTTTTTACAGGTCTGGGTCTTTTATGTTCATGAAGAAAGATGAAGCAAAAATTTAAAGTACAAAATAGCAGAAACACAAAAACAATGTAAAATTGACAATGCATTTGAAATGTAAAATTGTTTTCAGATAGAATTAGATACAAAAGCTAGTGGAACGGTTGCCGGGGCCGTGACTCCACAATCTACTCCATCGATCGCCGCGAAGGAGTCGGCGGCACAACCGCCAGAGTCACAGCCCGAGGAGTCACAACCGCCGGACACAAAGCCGGAGGAGCCGGTTACTGTAATGGTTAACGAGGAGTGCATAAAGGAAGAGATAACAGAGCAGCCTAAAGCTGATATTGACAAGAAACAGTCCGATTGGGTGAGTGATTTTGTAATGTTTGATGAGTGGTGGCTGTTCCGTGTCAAGGCGGAATTTATTATACCCTATTATAGACGATCGCGATTCTTTTCAGATAATTGATACGAAAACGACATCGGTTATTAATATATTTTACTAGGTTTTGTTCAATCGCAGTTACAAAATATAACTTCAATTAAAACAAAAGTACGCTCGGTATAAAACAGTTTCGATCTAGTTTAGCGAGGCAGCCCGCCCTTGCTTGTCTGTCCATGTTTAGTAGTATAGTTAAGTTAGACGCATTATCATTCTGTCATAATGTTGTTTGCTTTATAGTCGTATTTGGAGGAGGAGCAGGCGGGCGGGCTGCCGCGGGAGACGCGCGCGAGCCGCGTCAGCCGCAGCGTTCGCACCTTCTTCTGTTGCGGCGTACCCTACGAGGCGCCCTCGGAGGACGACGTCTCCGTCGAGAACTACGTGTCCGGCATATAGACCACTCTAGGAAATAAATTGTTTACAACGCATACTACCCAATAATAATTGCCGCCGCCGCGAATTACTCATTGCTTATCAAGTTTTTTCCACGTTTTGCGAGCTTTATAAGATTTCAGTAAATTGTACCGGCTATTTATGTATGAAAGACTATGCATTGGCGGTTGCCAGCGTACGGTAATGAAAAATAAGTTAAAGAACATTTTGCGTGTACTCTAGTTGTGTATATAAAATTACTAATACAATGCTCTTTTATTTAACCCAATTCCGATCAGTGGGTTGCACGAATATTTGCAACAATCGCCTTCGTATTGTCATCGTCAATTATGTCAAAATTAGTATAAGATTTTTGGTGTACTTTACGCTCGATAGGAGCGCACTAATTTTAATACAAATTTTATCAATAATACACGATCGCGATTGTCACTAATATTCCTACTAGGCCCATAGATAGTTATAAGTGTAGGAAAAGTTGACAGATAAAATACCGTGATGAAACAGCGTGACAAACGATGTAGTTATTTTAAAGATTAGGGCAGAAGTCACTGACCCAGGTTTGTTTCACCATGTTTTTACCGTCCGTCTGCATTTTACGAGAGAAATGTCAACCATCTTGACTTGATTTGGTGACATATTATTGCGAAAATCTGATGAATGAATTCTGATGATGAAGGCTGATGGTCAATGGGGATATATGGTACTATTGTACTTAATTGTTATAGATTACACCGATGAGTAGCCGCTGTTATTACTCGTTAGATGAAAAAGCTTCAGTTGGACCTTGCAAGCCAGCCACTTGCCTCGAGCGACCATCTGGCATCTGCATTAGTCTACCAAAGGTTTGTAAATAATTTTAATAAACGTTTATGTATGCATTTTTTTCATTCAGAACTAATAACATATTTTTAAAGCAATCGAAATATGCCATAATGAAAGTATCTATATTTGCAGAAATCATCAATGTCTTGCAACATACGAGACCAAGGACCAATTTCAGGCATTAGCTTAGTCGTCAGGGTAATTTTTTTTTCTTTGATTAAAATTAAAAACAAGATACAGGATGTCCCAATTGTAATAATCACTAATCTATCTATACAGTTTAAAAAATTGGTGTGTCTGCATTGATGGTCGTGGGCGACTGCTAGTGTTATAATTAGCTAATGTTCATAATGGTCATAAGCACTATATAACTATTTTTTTTAATTTATAGAAACGATGTTCAAGGCCATCGGTGAACATTGAAATGAGAGAAATACACAGCGACCCAAATGGTGATTATTAATATTAGATTAGTTTGAGATCCACATATTTACTTATTATTTTAATCTATCATTTCTAAATTACATATCTTAGATGGTTGGATTTCAAATAATTTTCATCATATGTAAAATGCGTTTTAGTAAGATTTGATTCTCAAGATAGTACAATCTTGAGAATGACTTGATTCTTCTTATCTTTGGTTTAGAAAACTCGGTTAAATTGTAGGTTATGATCTTTTTAATATCTAACTAAAAAACTTATATTTATGGAACTTATTTTATTTTTTAGGAGAAATGCAAGCAAGTTCTGAAGAGTGCTTCAGTGAAGATGCGCATTCTTAAAACCCAAAATTAATTTAAACATTAGTTGACATTCATAGGATTTTCATGAATTCGAATAATTTAAATAGTCGTTTTATCGTTTGTGTTCTTTGAATTTTATACCAAAAGTTTTACATTTGTTTTATGAGAATATCTGTTTCATTTATGTAATAATTTAACCAATAAAAGAAAAATTTAAATTCGTGTTAAATTTTTGTAATTTTATTATATTGCACATGAATTGTTACAAGTTAACACTTTTTATACTTTTGCACTTTGGATTACGTTAGTTACACAATAATAAAATAACTACGACCACAATATAATTTGTTCCAATAGTATCGTACCCTAATTCATACAATCTGAACAATTTGTATAAATCATGTGGCAATCTTAATTTTATTAGGAGATGTAGAATTTAATTAGACAATTATTTATTCCAAATTAATATAATTTTAAAAATATATTTTATTATATTCAAAATATCAAACAATTCAAAAATATGCAAAAGTAATTTAAAAGTGTCAAATGTCAAGAGCTTTATAAAACTTTTGTGTACTCATATTTTAGTGTGCATCGTATTTACTATATTATGCCGTATTTGTAGTCTGTCTACGGCTCCAAAAAATTTGTTATGTTTTCCTGGTTAAAGAAAATCCGCTCGGATATGACCCCTAACTGATGACCTCAGGGCCGGATCTTAAAACACAGATTCCCCGCCCCAGCATCCTTAGAAACCACGGTTTAAAACAGCCTTTTTTTAAACATTTTTGTTCTAATTCAGTTGCATCTTGGTGTCTTGGCTCGGTTTCGTATCTCCTGTTCGATGCGCACGCTCTTCGGCATTCGGCAATCGTTGCAAGCGGCGCTGTGTTCCATCATCCGCTGCCGGCCCTTAGTCGCGCGGTCCGTGTAGAAGTCGAACTCGCGCGGCTTCCAACACAACTCCGTGGTGCCGCAACGACACGTCATCTCGCGACAAATCTGTACCAAACAATGAGATTAGGTATAATCTCATTTCTCATGGCGATAGCCATGAATATGTTAAAGGATTTAATCATAGGGTGTGTTTAGCTGATTACTGTCAGTGGTTCATGTTGGTAATTGAACACGGTCTTAAAACAATTCAGAGGTCCTAATAAGATTTGTAAGGTCATGTGTTCTAAAACATAAGTGTGTAGTAGATATGCTACCATCTTGTCACATATGTCCTAAGTTGTAGGGTATTATGATATAGTTTTTATGTGTGTCTCACCGAGGCGAGGTATTCGTCGCGGCAGGAGTCGGGGCACTCGCATGTCCAGTTGGTAGGCGGAGCGCAGGGCAGGCACGGCGGTACATAACACTCGCTGGGTGAAGGTGAACAGTAGCACGTGCATTGCTGGCACATCGTGTATACCTGATACATACACAAATACGAAAATCACACATGCAGATCTAATTAACGTACTCATCTCAGTTACACGCTATAAGAATTGGAATGTATTGTAGATTTAAAGAGCTTTTATCAGCATGTAATTTACTTACCAGCCAAATAGCTCTAGCTATTTCATTTTGCACGTAAGGAAGACATTTGCAAAGAAGACAATTTTCGAATTTAGTCAACTCTGGAATTCCCAAGTTTTTCTCTATTCCCGTCGAACCAAGAATAACCTGCAAAGGAAAAAAAAATTATTTTTAATTAGGCTCCAAAAAAATAAAAACTTTTACACGGTACCTGTTGGTTATATAGATGTTTTTACGGTTTCCTTACAAAACCAGTAAAACATATTGTCAGCAAAAAGATAAATTCCCCAACTTACTTCACTGGCGAAAAACTGACAGTTAGGAGCGCAAGTGCCCAGACAGTCGACGTATGCACACTGCTCCACCTTGCCGCCCTGCAAGCCTTTCACCACGTTGAGCGTGTTGCGAGCGAGGGCGTATGCGCCCGCTAGGCTCGCCGTTGCGTGCCTACAGCCCTTAGCAGCGCATACCGCCTCCGTGCCACCCATTATACAAGATGTCACGCACTCCACCTGGACAACAACACGAATAGTTCATCTTCACCACACTACTGCACTGAAATTCCTGCAGTGTATTTGGCAAATTTAAAGGCAAGGTTTCAAGTCATTTTGGTTATAAAAGGGCTGCTTATTTGCCTCCTTTTTTAAGGTCTGGATTTAGATGTACAGTGTTTACACTAGCTGACAGGACAGAGCCATAAAATCACAGCTGTAAGCTCTGAGTGCCATCTTCTATATAACAATATGTGAACCCACATGTTCCTGCGTCAATGTTCCGGGATGTACTGCACTGGAGAGCACCGGCACCATGGTGTTAGGCGTGGCGCCACCAATGACGGGCACGCGCACGCTCTCTGGCGGCACGCGCAGGAAGTCCGCTAGCACGGTGTTAGCGCGCACGCAATGGAGCTCAACACAACCGAGCAGCTTGCGAGGGTTGTACACGTTTCGAAGTCTTTGTATTTCGCTGACTAAAGGCACCATACTTTCCACAGGCTCCGTACCGACTATGGTAAAGGTCTGTAAAACGTTTAAATTGATCGAAGTTATATTTATTTGTGAAATCAAGAACAGATAAGGATTTGAATGAGCTCTTACGTCAGGACATGTGTTGCAAATCTGCAGAGCGATTTCGGTGATTATTGGCGCGCTTTTTTCAAAACTGTCTTCTTCATCACGAGCCACAATGACTACTACTTTGGCGTCCTGTAATAATTAGTACACGTTATTTTATGGACTACCAAATTATGCTCTAAATTAAAGTTGTCTATAAATATTTTTTTTATAAAAACCATGAGTATTTGACGTCAAGTCTGATTGGCAAATCTATGTTTCGTTGTCCTATATTATTTTACAATTAATATACTCTTTACCTTTAGCGCATCGCAAAGCATATGGCGTCCAGAAAACGATGAGATCTTGCATTTGGTGTCAACATGACTTAACTCCATGCCGTACCCGCAAGTGGGGCAAATGTCATATAGAGCTATTTCATCGAGTAACGGACTTTGTTTTAATAGCAATGCTAATGGCTGACCTGAAAATAAAAATAAAAAGTAATTTATTATGCTATTTTCAATTCACTGTGGTACGGGTGGTGACTTTATTTTTACACATAGTTAACAAAAGTTCTTCTAACGCTTTCATATATGTAATTTCGTAATAAATGTGGTGTTTGCTTTCTTTTTAAGGAATTAATTTGTTTCATAGAATTTATAAAAATAACGGATAACTTTTAGATTTGTTTTTTCTATTGATGGTATTAGATTTGTTGCGAGGAAAGTGTAAAACTAAGAATAACAAAACAACTAAACCCAAAAATGTTATACTGATCTTAGTGTCTTTGGGTCCTAACTTTGAGCTGATAACGATCTGTTACAGTAAGTTTTTATTCCTCTCAGTGTGGAGAATAGCTTTATAGGAACGTATAAATAAAAAAATATTATGTTCTTACCTGTGTTCCCGGCTGCTCCACAAATAGTGACCTTCATGCCAGCCGGACACGTGCTGTACTTTCGATATACATTATTGCTATCGATTTTTTGCGACAAATTCGCAATTTTCGACTTCCGTCTGACATCAATTTGTAAAAAGTTAAATAAAGTTCTCAGGCGATACATTTTTTTTGTAATTTTTTGATATTTTTTTAAATACTTGCTTAATTTAGATGTCCATTATAATTTTTTTATGTTTATAATTTATGACAGATTATTTATTCAAAGAAGATGTTTGATGATGTCATTAAAACTTCTTTATAAATTGAATTAAGAAGTTTGCATATAAGCCAACTATGCTTTACGCGCACATTCATAATTGAAACATGCTGTAGCTAAAAGAAGCATGCCATAGCAATTTATTTATTTGCAAACATTCTAAAGAAATTAAGTTATAATTTAGTTACTGAATATATGAATAATAAATGGAAATCTAATTTCAGTTTACCGATAAACGTTCTCACATACCATTAGCAATATTATTGCATTGTAATATTGCTAATGGAAAAACTAAAGTTGATTTCTATTTTAATCTACAACTTGGTACGACCATTTCAATCCACATTATACTGCATTTAAAATGTTAAATAATTTGAAGAGTTGTTTAAATCCATTACCAAAAGTAAATGTTAATTTATCTATTAATGATATTTTTAAACCAATTTATTCTGTGATAACTTTCCTAGGACTGTTTCCGTATAGTGTTAAATTACACCAAAATAAACAAAAATATACAATTATACGTAAATCAATATATGTTAACAGCATATATGGTGTTAGTATGGTTTTAACCATAAATGTGTTTTTAGTATTGCATATTAGAGAAATGTTTTTTAGTTCTGACTCAAGCCCTATTATAGACGTTTTACTGACTAAAATAAATTATTTTATAGAACTAGTTATTGTGATATTTTTTATCATAGTCACATATGTGAATGCGTTTGTAAATCGACACAAATATGTGAAAATGTTAAATACAATAATGTCAACTTGGAATGATTTATCAAAACGTTATAAAAATTTTGGTGATCTTAGACGTGTTTATTACAAAGTTAATTTATTAGTTAAATGTTTATTTCTTATAGTTTTAATGCAGTGCTGTCTTAATTTCTTACAAGGAGATCGTTTATGGAGGATGATTTTAATGTACATCTCTTTTAATTCGGCACAGACTTTACAATTCATTATGGTCCTTTTTTATTACGTAACAATAATGTTGTTAGTCATTTTGCTCGCAAACCTTGAGAAGCAAATTACACAATTACACAATAAAATAAATGAAGATAAGTGTTTTGTTCAAATGAAAACGCAAACGCTAACAGTTAAGCAAATAGAACTGTTGTATAACAAAGTTTTTGATGCTAAAACTGAAATTAATCAAATATTTCAATATCCTTTATTAGTGTGCTTTTTTCAATCCTTCTATGGCATTGTCAATGAGGCATTAAATATGTATCAACGATTAGTCGTCGAAAAATGTGCAACTGTTTACGAAATATTTAATCATTCTTTTTGGATTACTTTTCATTTAATAAAGGTATTCCTTATGGCATCATCCGGACACGCTTTGAAGATGAAGGTAAGAGTGATTTTTATAAGAAAAAAAAAATACTTTATTGAATTAAAAAATATATCTTGCAGGTTCGTAAAATTAGACAAGCTGTGCTCGACATTCCGACTGAGGTTCATGATGTCCGTTGGTACATGGAGGTATTTATATAGAATATTAACGTTAACAACCAATGTATGTATCAAAAGCTAAGGCTTTAATAATTTTTTTACAGGTTCAACATCTTTCTTCGGTAATTTCTAACAAAAACATCTTAATAGTGTTGTTTGATTGCATTTCATTGGACGCAACACTAATGTATTATGTAAGTACAATACGCGCCATTTTTCTACATAAATGTTTAACCCTTTCGAGGCCTCGAGGCCATAGACGTGATATAAAATAATCCTCACTTTAAGATTATTAGGAACATTTTCATCACTCGGGATCGTCCTTCACACTTTTTCCAAAGTGGATAATAAAGTTTGGATCCAGTCACGTGCCATTGGTTAGCTATAAGTCACCCCGTTTCACATAAAATAATGAAGTGTTTCTCAAAATCGAGCGCTCGGTTTTCCTCAAGATTTGTCTATATTTCCTCAGCAGATCTCAGGTATAATAAAGCATTATTTCTTTCTTTTCAGACGCTTTCTTCTGCGTCATTATATCTTATTATTTTAGTTCAAATTGATAGAAACAATGAATGATTATTGATTTGAAGAGATCAGAAAACCAAGTGACCTGAAGAGTTACTTTGATATGCTTTAATTTCAACACTTCATGATGTCAATAGTATTTTAAGAGTTTCGTATAAACTTCGATACTTTATAAAAAGATACGATTTGATTGTATTTTGTTTATTGACCAATAGAAACTGGCACTACAAAAACTGGGGTAAAGTGCGAGTAAAAAAAACAAATTATTCAAGCAAACATCAAACTTTATTATATGAGCTAAAAACAATATGTGCGAGCAAAATGTCGTCCATTATTTCATTACATTTTAATTATTAAAATTACAACTAGCAAGAGCGATATTTGAAAAAAAAAACCGTCGACTACGACGAACGATATTAATATTATTTATTATGTAAAAACCAAGACTGACTAAACACAAACATAAAACGCGAACTCCGATGTCTCTTTTGTCGGACGTTATAATTTCATTTAGTTGGTCTTGGTTGAACGGAACTCCTTTCCTTATCTCCGTAAGTCTTTTCTAATTTGAACAGTGCGGAGATGGCGGCGCGACGGCGCGGCGGCGGGATGAGCTCACACCATTCAATTTAAAAGAAACTGGGTTAGTGCACAGCCGTCGCTAGGTAACGCCGCACGACTACTATGCACCGGCTACAAAATGTTACAACCTCTATACTTTGCATTAAAATAATGCCCATTTTCACAGGCAAGGGATCCTAACATCGCAAACTTTAACACCAGTAATGTACTCCACTCAATGTTGTCGACTTCCCTGCAAAGTTTTCAATCATGTATATAAAAGAAAACCCACTTTGACTGGCTAAAAATGAAATAATTCCGTCGGCCCGACTGCCGGCGCTGGAAGGCGATGTTTCCGTTTAATGCTCAGCATGTTAGACATCATCAACGCACCGCACGGAACTAAAGGACGCGGTACATCGCCACTGCAACAACTAAAACAACATTTATGCTATACCATTATAAATACACATTAAAAGCTAATATTTAGAATTTGGATAAGTAGATAATTATTTTATACTTTTTTTTTATTATTATTTATGAATGCAAAAACATGCTAAATAATGCTGAATATTAAACTGGAAATAATCCACACATATATTTTTTTTGTAATTTTTTTTTTACCTTAAATACATTTTATATATTTTTTTTACATTTTCTTGTAATAATTTATTGAGTAATTTCCACGCTGGGAAAATTACACTAATTCTATGCAAAGTATAGCTTGTATTTTATTATATGACCACTCCATACTTTGTTTCAAAGTTTACGGGCTATGCTATTTACTCGCACATTGGCAGTGAACGTAAACAAAATAAATACTCTAATAAAACACAAGGCAACATATTATTATATAAGCAATATAACATATACTTAATTATTACTAATTTCATTGTTTCCAGTCGATATTTTGTTGAAAACATTTTTTTTATATCATAAGGTGGCAAACGAACGAGCGGCCACCTGAAATCGCTGAAATAGCGAAGTGACCATTGACCATAGACAAGCAATTGCATATGCGTTGCTTACCTTTAATCGACGGAGGAGAAGATGCACAGAAAGAAAGTATATTCCCTTTCCATGTATCTTCTCATCCGGAAAGTCCACTTCCGCTTCCCATCCTTTCCTTATAAGAAAAAGGTGAGAAGGGAAAGAGGACTAAATTAGGCCTCCGGGACGCACACTCATCAGACGAAACGCGGAATTGCTTCCACTTCACGCCTGTCTTCTGTGTGGAACATACATAGAAGTATATGTTTCCAACAAAACATTGAAGTGCTTTCATATCCTTTGGAACTAGACAGTTTTTTGCTAAATTATGCGAAATTAATTATGTCTCGTAAGTAATCTCAATATAACAAGAGAATAATAAAGTTATTTTAAAATTTGAGTAATGCCAAATTCATTTAAAAAATGATAAAAAAATATGTATAATCATCGCATATGGCATTAGAGGAAATCAGTTTTTTTATTTTAAAAATATATTACATTTAAAAAGAATTCATTGTACGGTAATAATGTGTATATGTATTCTAATATTGAGTTCATGATTTTTATAATAAAATAATTTTACTTTTAAATAAAATGTACAATTCAAGTTCATTCTCTATATCCTAATAAATAAATAATTTTGACTGGTTATTTACTTAAACTACATTACGAATATACCAATTTGCATATAAGATATACAAATGTAAATACACGCAATCACTAAATATACAAATGATATAAAAAGAATACATTTGTAAATGTCAGTTATAGAATTGAAAATACATGAAAACATTAATTATACATACGATATACTAAGAATACATTTGAAAGTTGCTACACATATATACACTGCAAATATGCCAGTTATACAGCATAGCCCGAAGTGAAGCCCGGTCGTATGGGAGTAGTGAAGATACAGCTTCAGTCCCGGCGACATCACGAGATAAACATCGCAGTGGCACCGTGTTCTCTACAAAATATTGCTCAAAACTAATACATCAAACATTTATACACATAGACAGGCCAAAATAAATTAAAATATACATATAGACATTTGTATACAGTCCCGCTGTTACTGATTGATTATACTTGCATTATTTATTTAGAATTAAATCTTATTTGCCAGTAAATGTCTACATTTAGTTTTCAATTAAAAAACATAAGACATAGTCTTCAAATTCATATGAATGGGCCTATTTATATATTTAAACATTTAACTGGGAGCATATAATTGCTATCGAGTGTTCAAAAATAAATTCACTCAGAGAAGCACTGGTTGCCACTTAGAAATGAGAAACGGATGTCGCACGTTCGAGAAATCTCACTTCTTCGTCATAATTTTCAGATACTCCAGAGCGTTCTGGGCAGCCGAGGACTGAGCGTCCTTGCTGGTCAAGCCAGATCCATAGCAAACAGCCACCGGTAAAGTAGACAACTGCACGAGGCATTGAGAACGGCCCGTCATAGACTTCTCTTCAATATCAACATATGTCACTTCAAATGCTTGCTCGGAAGCTATCTCTTGCAGAAATTGGACAAAGTTGAAATCCTTGTTATTCAATGGAGTGATCTGTAAATAGATTAGTTATTTAATTATTTTCATTAATTAAATTCTATAAGCGCCAGCATAAACACAAATAGTGACTGAATATCACAGAGATTTTAAGTAGAAGATAAACGCTTTAGTGGCAATTTTGGTTCTGAGTGTTGGTGTTATTTAAATAGCATGCAGGTTAGGGACAGAGTTAACATGCATGTCAAATCACAATTAATACGTATTTTATATAAGTAGCTACAACAACATTCAATAGTAAGTATAATTAAAAAATTATACAATTATACAAAATTTAGGGAAAGAGATAATTAATAACACATAGAACTTGCAGTATACTCATAAAAGTCGATAATCATTGTAAAGTAGAATTGTGTAAATGAGATAAAATACATTATTAAATCATTGTATCACATTGAAACAAACAATAACTAAACAAATCATGCATCTAATCACATCTAAAACACATTCTAACACACATTTATAGTCTTTTAGTTGTATTTACCCGACTGACCCATAATATAGACCAGAAAATGTTAATCAGAGGTATATGTTATTATGTATAATTCTTAATATGAATACCTAAGTACATTGAGAGAAATGGCCAGATAATTTTTTAATTAGTTTTTTTGGTTCTTTTTTAAAAAAAAACTATTGAATACATTGGAAATTAAGCTTTCTATATTTTATTATGTTGTTTTTTAACCTCAAAAAATCTTATAAACTTATCAAAGGGATCCGAAGAGTCAGTCGGTTTTGATATAAAATCGATAATAAGTTGTAAATCAAACATTTGCGATTGAATGTGTATTCATCATACCTGCAACTTGGCCAGGTTAGGGCCGATAGATTGCTTAAGATGTTTGTGGAACTGCGACACCTTGTGGCTGTGACTTGTTGTGAGTGTGGAGATTTTACTATCTTTCAAATCGGCATAGCGCGACGCGACACCCTAGAACACAACACCAATTTTAATATTTTAACAAAATCTATCGCAATCCGTATGAAAGATAGTAAAACACCTGGCCAAGTTCATCAGAACCTCTCGATTCCTACAGAATTTTAAAACCATGAAACATTGCTGTCCATTTTAACTTCTGTAACACTTTTAAAAACACACCATCATCTCTCTCACATTGTTTGAGATGACATGTGACAATACACATATCAAGACACAGGACTTGTTCGGTCCCAGTTCGCTTCAATATTAAAAAATTAAATGTTTACAAGTTCGAAAATTAGGATTTCTTTCGAAACTTGTATTGATGTAACATGTAATGATTATAAACAAAAAAACAAAATAACATATTTTTATGTGAATGTTTTTGGCTCACGGTATAATACACTGAGTTGTAATGGTATGAAAGAACTGCATATAAAATTATACATTTACTCGAAAACAAATCTATGTTGCAATTTGAAACTTTATATATTTATTTCGCTGCTAAATTATTTCGTTCCTAATTTTATAAAAATTGAATAGTATTAACTTGATATTTCTGTAAATTAGTGAACAACACAAAAAATTGATTATCACTTAAATGTTATTCTTATTTATTAGAAGGGAAGTTGTTTTAGTAAATACATATTAGTAATAACACACAATACAAAATGGCAGATGAGAAATATTATTTCTTCTCAGTTTATGCAACACAATTGATCATATTGTAGAAATTATAAAAGAATCCTTTATTTCTAAAACAATTTCATTTAACCCTATCCATGGAACACCTGTTGTCACTTTGTTTAAATAATTCAAACAAGAGTCTTAACAACTTTAGTGCCACCACTCAGAGTTTACACTATAAGAAAAAACATAGTGGCATGAACAGTATTAAAAATGATAAGCAAATGCTATATGAGTACAAATTATTTAAATTACCTCTTCCTCATTCTGGAAGGATTCCGGAGGGTTATCCTTCAGCGCCTGCCACATCTTGTAAGCGGCTTGGCGCTTCGCCAATTTCTTGGACTTGCCCGTACCCACCTCGCGACGCTTCAACAGCGTACAGACGATAGTGAACTGACGCTCATGAGGCAGACCTGAATTAATTATGTAATTAATAATCAAAATAAATAAGTAGCACTTTTTTTTAATCTAATTATTTTTACTTGATGGAATGCTACAAGTTCTTCATGTGAAAGTGAACTTGCAAAGCAAGTCAGTGGGACTATATATGTTAAAGATAAAAAATAAATCGCAAAACATTCAAAATAACTAAATACTAAAAGTTTAAACTTTTTACCTTTGTCAAGGTTTAAAAAATTTTTATTTATACTTTATTTTTGCACAAAGATTTCATACAGACAAACATTAAAGCTAATACAGTATTAAAAAATACTCACGCCTATTAACATTATCATCATTCTCAGCATGATAGGAAGGGGGTGGCCAGAAGCGAGACATGCAGAGCTCCTGCAACCAGCCCACAGGATTGCCCATAAGCTTGTCCTCAAACAATGACACCGCTGCACCACTAAGAGAAAAACACAAATAATTTCACTTGAAGTATTGATTTTACTTTGTTTTGGTGTTTTGATTACATTTCATTTGTGACCAGTATCTTCTTTTGCTTCTTGACTCTCCAACTAACAAAGGGTGAAGATTGGTTCACCATATTTATATCATGACCAGTATGTTCAGTTAAATCTAATTGGACTATATATGATATATAAAAATCTTAACTAATGAAATTGAAAAAGCATTTCTCATAGATTTTAATGCCATAGATTAATTGTTATACTTACGGTTCAGGCACATTTCCATTAGTTGGTGGTTCAGGAGGGGCTGCACCAGTGAGACGGTCCAGCAAAGCCTTAGCTGCTGAGTGTTTCGCTTCTTTCTTAGATCTCCCTGTTCCCATAGCTGTAAATATAAATAGCTTGAATTTCTCGTTATAGACGCTATTTCGAGGGTGTCAAAAGTGTACTAAAGTACTTTTGTGGTAAGTTTAGAGGAAAGAAAGTTTGGTCACATATTCCTTAGAATTTAAGCATATTGGAGAAAAACTTTCTTACCGACTAAATCAGCAACAGTTACACGGTAGCGGAAAGTAGGCTCATGGATCATTCCCTCAATCTGTACCAGCTCATACTTTGGCACAGTTCCACGGCGAGCTAATAATTCTTGTAAGACAGAAACAGGAGTTTTCATAGGAAGAGCTTCCATTTCCTAGCAAAATAAGTGTAAAATTAAGATATAGTTAAAGCATTTTTGATTTTGATAATGTTAAGTTATTTATATTTTGAGAACACCACTAATGTTATGTATGATCACTCCGATACTGATTGCATCGGTTTTATTTTTTACTATTGGATTCTTATAATATTAGTTTACAATGTGTAAATTCCCACTCTATTAATATCAGATAGACCACTTTCTCTTGTACCTATGATGAAGTTATAAATTATTAAACAAACCCTTTTAGCAGCCTCATCCAAAGGCAGACGTTCCAAATTGTTGGGTTGCTTGGGACGATTCTGAAATCGTCGGCGTGGCCCGTGAGGCACGTGCTCGCCGTCTGGGCCGGCTCCGTGCATCGGCATGCCGTGCAGTACACCTGGGTGCATACCCCCCGACTGAGGGTGCACCACTCCACCGTCCATCTATTGCATACAACAGCCTAATCAATGACTATCACACTGTATATAATCAATACTGTACTGTAACTTAATCCTTATTTTTGTATTACTGTTTGCCGGCTTCATTTTTTATCAATGAATTAACTGATAATTTATGGTAATTTTGTATAACTTATTGAGTTCAACAAAAATAATGTTAAGCTTTAATGTTATTAAAATAATTGTATTGATTTAAACAAAGTAAAAAATTATTTATAAACTGCGATAGTGTTTTAAGTAACATTGCTACAATGAACTTACTTTTAATATTTATTTGCTTAACAAAAGGTACTTTAACGAGAAAATAATTTCACGAAAGTAAAACATGTGATTGGGTAAATGACATGGCGCCGCACCGGCCATTACCCGCAAAATGGCTACATGCCGGCAAATCTTGCCAAAGACTTACAATATTAACAATTTCTCGACTTATCTGTTATAAATCGTTCTTTCATTCAATTAAGTGATCTTTATAAGATAAAAAATTCTAGTACCTACCATTTTGTAATACCTCTCCAAGATTGCGATTTAATTAAACTTTTGTTAATAAGCGTATATCCTCTACCTCTATCACACTACGAGAAAATATCGATCACATACACTTTTGGAAGTAATAACACACTTTACAATATCACCAAGAAATTAAAAAAATTAGTTATTAGCCGTACAAGTGGATAGATATCCAGAAAAAATCTTAAATTAATTTTATGCACTGCAAAGGATTTTATGAACAAAATCTATAGAGTAACTAATTTCAGACCAAAGAGTATGGTAAGTACAGTCTAGTAGACGTAGATGGACATAGACATGAAAATGTAGACCAAACATTTATCTCTATATTGTACTGGATAGGGTAAAAGCAGTGACATTTTGTGCTTATTTGATTTTCGCCATTTTGTCGGTGACGATAGCAGAGTTGGAAACTCCAATTAATATAAAAGGCGTATACAGCAAAGCTATTGGTTTATCTGTCTACGTCAAAAGACGTAGAACTAAGGTTTACGTCCATGGACCCACGTCGGACACACCGCACACACGGCCCGTAACGGATTTTAGTATGCTTTGTATGATTGGACATAGCGCTGCGGTTGTCATCCACCTCGCCCGCATCGAAAAACAAAGCAAATCCATGCGTACGGTGCGTCCGGCGTAGGCCTATAGACGCGTACTTATCCGACACAGTAACTTCAACGGACATTTTTAATTCAGAACAAAGCAAAGTTGTTATTTAGCAGCGACTTATCCATCGTTTATTTAACATATGAAATCAAAGATAACATAATTAAATAAAATTGATGCTTGCAGTTCAGCACTACGGTTTGCATGTGTGAAGCAGATCCTATTATTATATACCCAATGTGATTTGCGCAGTTCTTTTACTAGAAAATTGGAAACATTTACACACGATCTTTTAAATAATAAAAAAAAACATTTAACAGACATTTATTGAAATAACAGCATATAAATAGGTTACTTTTGAACTTCGAATATTTTTTTCCGTGAATATTTAAATTGATTTAGTTTCAACTTTCTTGAAGGTGTAGTTTGGAGATAGCAAGTAGGGGTTGACGGGATATTTTGCTCTGCGGTAGCTGATTTGCAAATATTGGACCACGTTTCATCATCATTTGACATTGTCCAGGTTTCAATTTCACTGGCAGTTGACGATGTATTATCATCTTTTTCAAAGGGATCATCGAGATTTATTGTATCAAAAATGGTACTGTCCCGTTTCGGTTCATCGCGAAATTGTAGCGGTGGTAAAATTATGTCATTTTGTGCCAAACTTTCTAGGAGTGATTTTGGATCCAACATAGATTGGCTAATATCCAAATCATTATTGAAAAATTCTATTTTGTCAAAACTAGGACTTTCACAGTCGATAGGCGATTCTAAATCAGGTGATTCTAAATCATCGAAATTTTTATGTCCTGTAAATTCAATATCAGGATCATCTATTAACTTATTTGCTACGGGTTCATTTTTATTTGTCTCTGTGCTATCTTTTATACTTTCAAAAATTTTTGCCATCAATTTTGAATGGTCTAATACTGGAGTTGGTTGAATATTAGTGTTTTGACTATTTGGCTCTTGGAGTTTATCTAAATCTTTTATTTTGAAGGGTCTTTTAAATTTTTCGTTTTTAATGTTTGTCGTAATTTTATTGCAGGTAGAACTGGGCGCATAACGATCTCTTCCATCTGAATCATAAAATTTGCTGAAAATTGAATTTAATCTCTTAATATCATCATCATTAACCTGCCCTTATCCCTATCGAGGGTTGGACAGTAAGTACTACTCCTCCATACATCTCTATCAGCCGTCATATCCGAGTCTCACCCCTTCCTACGCATATCCTTTTTCACACAGTCATTCCATACTTTTTTTGGTCTTTCTTTGTAGCTGTAGGTGACCTCCTACATATTCCCCAAAATACTGTACAGTCACACATACACATACATAACACGCATACTACAACACTCACACATAAACACGGGTGCATGACGAGTGGTCGTCGTCACGTCTATTTGTTGACCTCTGATTGGCAAATTCGAATTGCAACGCACAGCTGAGCGGGGGTCACTGACCGGTTTTGCATACGCGCGAAACGACAGTGGAGTTCCGCAGCGCCCGCGACATACCACGCTTTCTATTACGCAACTTGTTACTTTGTTATCCGAATTTGTGCATTTCTCTTTCTCCTACTTGTATTCTTCTTCTCAGTGTTGTACTCTCCTTCTTATTATTTGTTGTGGACTGTGAGTGATAATAAACTGTGCTGTGAATATAACTGTGCCTCATTTCACCTGTCGCCGCACTCACCCTTCACATCATCATCATTCACACCTTCCCACACCGGAGGTGACACCACGTCACCCCTAACCCTTCATTGGTGACCCCGAGGAGCACTAAGATGAGCAACACCGAAGACGAATTCCAGGAGGCACGGATTTTGCAAAATGAACCTTCTGCCCATGTATGTAAGGTTGGAAT